GGTGTGGGGCAGGGGGACTGGAAGTTCAAACCCCTTAATTACTAGGTCTTTGGGGTGACTGCACCCCCCAAACTGTCCAGGGGCCCCACCCTAAGTCACCTCATTAGCAAAAAACTCAAGTGCACTCCAAAGGGATGCCTAAAGGGTGACAAAAGACACTCCCATCACTCAGGAAATCCTGACGTCGGGAGGTCTGAGCCTGGCACGGGGCGAGACCCTGAGTGCTGCTCACGAAACCGCAGAAGGAAAGTCGCACGACGCAGGGGAAGCCACGTGTGGGCCGCCCGTGGCCAACGCGCCCGCGGCGGGGACCGAAGGCCGGCCTCCGAGGTGGCGAGTGAGGCGACGTGCCCACCTCGCCGCCTCCGTCCACGCCGCCCCGGGAATTCCAGGAGCCAGAGCGACGGGGCGAGAACAAGACAGACAAGGGATCCAGCTGGACAGGGAGAGAAAAATCACCTCTGTTCACAGACGCTACGGAAACACCTAATCGTTCCACAAGGAAAGTTGCCAGGACTAATAAATTCCGTGAAATAGCTGGATTCAAAGTCGACACACGCAAGAAGCTGTGTTTCTATCCACAACCCAAACAGGAAGTGAACGAAACAGCTGCCTTTACGACGGCCTCGAAGGGAACACAACGCTTAAGAATGAAGCTAGCACCGAAAATTACAAAATGCTGATGAAAGACACGGATGAGGGGAAACAGCCCGTCGCTGGACGAGACGGGGACCCGCCCGAAGCGGTGACAGACTCAACGCAATCGCTGCTGAAATCTCAGCAATGCTTTCCGCAGAAATCGAAAAACCCATCCTGAAATTCACATGGAATCTCAAGGGACCCCGAACGGCCAAAACCACCGCAGAACAGAACGAAGCCAGAGGGCGGCTCGCACGTCCCGATGTAAACCCACTGCGCAGCCCGCGGCCAGGCCACCCCGAGCGCGCCCGAGCGCATCTGAGCGCGGAAGCTAAGCGGGGTCGGCCTGGTTAGTGCTGGGATGGGAGACCACCCCGGAAGCCCGGGTGCTGTAGGCGCCCTCAAAAAATTAAATAAACACCACGTACAAAAATTAACGCGGCGTGCCTCAGGGACCTAAACGTGAGAGTTAGGATCAAAACCACAAGGAGACACCAGCTCACAGCCACCAGCATGACCACTGCAAAAAGAACAGAAGGTGGCGGGTGTGACGAAGACGGGGAGACCCTGGAACCCCGTGCGCCGCTGGCGGGCCGTGCAGTGCAGCCGCTGTGGACACAGCCTGGGGGGCCGTGGGTGGCCAGGTGATCGCACCTGGGGGGCACACGCAAAGGGACGGAAAGCAGTGTCTCGAAGAGGTACTCGCACGCCCAGGCCCACAGCCACGCCGCTCACGGCGGCCAGCAGGTGGCGACACCCAAGTGTCCACGTAAACAACACGAGGTCCTCCCTCAGTGGGGTGTGACTCAGCCTCAAAAAGGAAGGAAACGCTGTCATGTGACACCCCATGGGTGGACAATACGTGAGTGAAGCAAGCCAGTCACAGAAAAACAAATACTGTGAGGCTCCACTCACAGGAGGCCTCGGGAGGGGTCGGAGCCACAGGGACAGGGCGTGTGCGTGCGTGCGTGTGTGGCAGGGGTGCTTCATGGGGACAGTGTCAGTCAGGGAAGATGCACCTTCCTGGAGACGGGGGTGGTGACGGCTGCAGAACACCGTGAGTGTGCTCGACGCCACTGAATTACGCCCCTAACGGCGGCCAACGTGGCAGGTCCGTGCTGTGTATTCACAGTTTAAAAATGGGGGAGGGGGAAGCAGTGACATTCTAACACGGTACAACACGGACGAACTTCGAAAACATCACGCTGAGTGACACCATCCTGTTACAAAAGACCACGTATCGTGTGATTGCATGTACGTGAAGTGTCCAAAGCAGGCAAAGCACAGACACAGGGTGGAGAGCGAAGGCCGGGAGGGGGGCCGGGAGGGGGCC